CCTTCGGGTGAAAAGCCTCAGCTTGAATGCCGTTATCCTCGAAATCGCTGATCCAGACCCTGCCGCCTTCCTTCAACGTGCCAAACATAACTTTGACCAGCTCTAGCATATCCGGTACATGGTGAAAGACCAAATGGCTCACCACGGCGTCCCATTCTTTTCCTTCCAACACTTCGTCCTCAGGATCTTCGAGCAGTTTTACCTTAGCGCGCACCTTCTCTGTCAAACCGTTGGCGTCGATCTTTGCATCAAGCATACTGATCATCCCCTGCGCTGTGTCTAGTGCGAGAATGTTTTGTACATGCTGTGCAAGCGGGATGGTGAGCAGTCCTGTGCCACATCCAATCTCGAGCACTGAAGATGCCGATAGTGCGGGAAAGTGGGAAGGCGAGTGAGCTAGGATGGATTCGAGACAGAGCTTCGACGAAAGGACGACTTCGGGTTTGGTGTCCCAAGTAGCTGCTTCAGCGTCGAAGCGATCATTTCCGGTTGAGTAGTTTGGGGTTGTCATAGCTGTATTGTGTCTCAGTTTGGAGGTATCGCGGGTGAAGGAGGTGGTGGTGAAACCAGAGAAGGAGAACGTTGATCTCGGATGACCGGGATAGCCGGCCTGGTGGTCTGTGCCTGAAATTACCCCGCAAACAAGGGTCCAACGCATCTACACACAGTTGCACCTCTCCTATTGAACTTTTTGGTATGGGACCTCAATATCCATGTCAGGCTTCTCAATCATCACACTTTTCTCAGATCTTGAGCTTTTGAGCTCTGCTTTTCCTTGCACAATGTTGTAATTGACAAAATCTCTGTTGAGGAACCAGTCTAGGAGCTGGAAAGCTAAGTGGAATCTGGTCTTTCCTTTGACAAGATGTCAGCATTGTACAAACACACACCAGAGAATAGGTTGAATCTGACTGGTTGTAAGGACCACAAGACTAGTCATTGGTACCACCTCATATCTCATCAGCACCTACATTCTTGGCTCTGTCATCATCCTTCACATTGTCCATATTCAATTGTCAAATGGGCTCTTGAGCAATTTCCAGCAATTGCAGTGCAATCTGACCTGATCCAGGAATGCATTGTTGCCATGGAATGCAATGTACTACCAAAGGAAAGATCCAAATCAGTTGCTACCTTTGCAAATCTCAACACTACATCAAGAAAGATTTCTTTGAGAAGCAGGCCACCTTGTGTGACTCACAGAATTGCCTGAGCCAAAGAAGTTTAGATTTGCTTTCTGCCTGTGCTCTTGATTGTGCCTGGCTACACTCCAAACAGAGAATGCTCACTTGGTTGTGCTTCCTGTAGCCATGAGTGTTTGTAATGAAACTTAAGACATATATTCCCTGTGAGTGCCTGTCTGGAAACCATCAGCTGTTAGACTTGCCTTTTTTTCCACCTCTCCATTGGCAAGCTCCCGATCGACAAAAATCTGTTGGTAATCCTGGGCTTGGTTTTCTCGGACTTTGGTCCATTCAGGACCCTGACAGGTCTGCGCCTCCACTTGACACGTCTGTGTGAAGCTTTTGGCAAAGTTCTTCCATCTCTTCATGTTCAACAAGGCCTGGCTTCATGACTACGGTCACATTCTGCTCAATGTGCAAGCCAAAACTCCACGATGCAAAAGCTCATAGCATGCGCGGCTCTACAAGTCTCCAAACCACCACCGTTCTTTCCCGTATCGACACTTCACATTCTGCTCAATGCGCAAGCCAAATATTCACGATGCAAAAGCTCATAGCGTACAACGCGGCTCTACAAGTCTCCAAACCACCACCATTCTTTCATGTATCGACACTTGAGACTATCTCTCCTCATTGATGCAGTTCCCTTACCTCCACCACGCTCTCGTCCCCATCCATGGAGCAAGACATGCTCTTCCGCTCCCGCAGTCAACGTTGCTTCAGCACATGAACCTCTCCCGCACTCTGTCCATGTGGCTGCCTCCGCGCTCACCATTCTTATGTCCGCCTCGCGAGACTTTGCCCACCAAAATGTTCTCTCTGCTCCTCTTCGGCTCTCCGTAAGTACAGCTTCACTCATCACCATCTTGCATTTGTTTAGTACTGACACTCTTCATCTTTCCTACGCCTCCATCACCTTGATCACCCTTGTGACTTTGATTGCCACCATCACCTCGATTGCCATCATCACATTGGTTGCTTTCATCGCCATTGTCATGTTGATCACTTTGATTGCCATCATTGCTTTGATCGCCATGATCACCTCGTCCGTTGTCACCACCTCAACCACCCTCATCGTCTGGGTTGCCATCGCCGTCCTCATTGTCTTGGTCACCATTGCCTCCTGCATCTCTCAGGTCACTGCTGTCCCCAGTTGTAAAATGAACTTGACTGCTGTTGCCTCTCTTTTCGTCTGTAGCCATCATTGTGTCCTTTTTGTTCTTGTAATTCAATCTGTGCAATATGAATAATAGCTGTCCTTATTCTGTCCGTGTTTGAAAAGATGTTTGTGCATTGCTATCATACGTTTCTTGAAATACATTGAACATAAGTTTCCCTCTTCTGTCTCTGTGTGAAGCTGATCCCATGTTTGTGTGTACATTGTATATTTGCAGTGTCGGTACGTCCCAAGGTAGCTGTGTCACACTTTGCAATTGTAATCACAAATATCTTGTCTTGCCATTTCAAGAGTCAAGCTACATGTGTAAGCTTACAGAGTTGCCTGAGCCAAAGAATAGACCAGCCTTCTGCCTGTGCTCTTTCTTGTGCCTGGCTACACTCTGATCATAGCCATGAGTGTATGTAATTGAAACTAAGACATGAATCATCTCTCATTGCCTGTGAGCGCCTGTCCGGAAGCTGTCATCATCATCATTGTCATTGTTCAAACATCCACATATCAATACCAATATATTGTGATGACTTCCTCAGGCCCCGCCAGGGCCCTGCTTCACAGCATTCAGGCGCCGGCAGAGGCGACCTGAACTGCAATGGCTGGAGTGCAATACAATATGCAAGATTGCATCTCCAGGCAGAAAACAAACTTGGAGAGGTGCTTTGAAACAAATGAAGCTTTGCTTGGGCTTCAGGCGAATGTTGACACAGTACACAAGGACCTTATCGACACCTTCCACCAGCTGCAGGTCTCGCCAGCTTGGCTCCTGCGCCAGAAGAAGGCAGAGGAGTTTCTCAGGCTGTTCATCAGCAAGGTGCATCTCAAGCGTCTCTTCGGCGATGGGGAGCCAGCATACACAGCTGATGATGTTCTCAAGAGGCAACCACAGCCGGACCTCTCAACAGACCGCGGCTTCTGGAAGCTCATCGCTTCCTTCACAGTCGTTTGACTTCAGCCTTCACAGCTCACAAGCGAGACCAAGCACAGTGTGCGCTCGGTGCTGAACAAATTCCAAGTCCTCACAATGATCTTCAAGCGGCTCACAGGCTTGGCACTCCTGCATGACCTTGCACAGGAATGCACTGCTGTCATTGAGTGCAATGCCTTGCCAGTGGAGAGGCCAAAGCCTAACCCTAACAGAATTGTTGGAATCTCCTTGAAATCAGTTTGTTGGCTGTTGCAACTCCACCATCTTCCAATATCATGGGGAGGGAATCACTGTCTTGGAGGCAAACAATCTGCTCAGGGCACACACATTGGCAGTGGGTCTGCCTTATGCATCCTTCCATTGACTATAACAGGATTTTGGCACCCAGGTGAGACTGCTCTTTGGCAGTTAAAAGGGTAAAAACAAGTCAAACATGAAGTACAGCACAGAGCAAAAGAGAGGCCAGGGCCAAAGCTGTGACTGGGAGTTTCTCAGCACCAATCACAAGGGATGCAATGAAGAAAGCTCAGGAACAGCTCAAGAGCCAAAGACCAGAACTTCCAGATGCTGCTGCCAGACTCTACACAGGAGTCAAGAGCCAAGATCTCTACAAGCAGCAGGAAGCAGCCAGCGTCCAACATGCTTTGGCTGTGCCATTGGGCAGCAAAAACACAACAATCACACCAACCATTGATGGCACCACCAGTGTTGACACACAGATGGTCAATCAAATGGAAGGTGTGATGGAAGACATCAGTGCAAGGATGGACCATGGGGACCCAAGAGATGAGATTTTTGACCAAGCACAGGTCCTGGAAGGAGGAATTTTTGATGAGCCACAGGACCTGGAGTCTGAATTGGCCGCAGCTCAATTCAGAATCTCTTGGCTCCAATTCCTGGGAGGGATCAGCCATGCTTACGAGAGAGAGCGCAAGCTGCTTGATTTCATGGTTGCAGTTGGATTTTGCCCACTCTGCCCTTTCAGGAGGACAAATGCATTCCTGTTGTCCTCCCATCAGCAAGTGGGTCTTTTTGCGGATCTTGGACCAGCCAATGCATTTGAACCAAGCAGTAGGAGTTCACCTTGGCAACACATGATCATGTTTCACCCGAGCAAGCTCACAGCTCTTTGGGGGGGCCAACAACTCAACCCTGGCATATTCCAGTGTCCACTGGTGCCAGCTTTTGCACCACATGTGTGGTTCCAAGCACAGCCGGAGATTGCCAACAGGTATCTGGCCCCCATCTCTGCCAGATACCTGGATTGGCTGTCTAATGCTCAAAAAAGTGTCGTTGCCAAGCACATGGTGCCAACCCTGTACATGGACCTGGAGAATGCTTCACAGGTGAACTGGGCAGACAAGGTGGCTGGAAAATTGTTGACTTCTACATTGAAGAAGTCTGACAAGGCCACACACTCTGCAAGCCAGGAAAAGATCATCACTTGTAGCTTGACCGCCTCTGTGAGTTATCCCTGACATAGGATCACTCTTTCCTGCTCTCCAAAGGCCAACTAATGAGATTATAGATACATATATTAATGCTACTTGCTAACTACTGTACAACAACATCCCAGTTAGTACAATGGTTAGTATAGATTTGTGGTCGCGGACCAATGTACTAACGCGCCAACCAACGCGCCAGGGTCTGCGTACTGTATTTGTATTATATAGATACAGCTGCTGGTCAATGTCTCAACAATGTCTTAACGACGTCCCAGTTAGTACAATGGTTCAGTATAGGGCACTCTCATAAGTCGGCGATCTCCGGATTGCTAAGTGCTGCTCAGATCAGGGTTCGATTCCCTGGCCGGGAAGTTTTTTTTTTCGATTTTTGTAGTCTTTTTTTTTATTTTCTTTTTATTTTTTTGGGGAGGTGGTTCGGAACACTTTGAGAGACCCCAACACGATTGTCTCTATGGTTCATACAGGTTTTGTTAAAGAAGTGACAGAGAGTGTTAGTAGAAATTGGAGCATGTGTGTGAAACTGCTGGATCTCACAAGCGGAAGCGTAGCAAGTGGAGCATAAGACAGTGGCCGGATGTGATGCGGAGAGACACTAGTGGTGAATTAAGGGGCGGAGAAGCTTGTTTGAGGGCCATGATGATGATGCCACGTTGTTGGCCGGAGATGCTGGTTGACAGATTTCTTCTGTCCTGTCAGGAGTGGTTTGCAAAAAGGGGCCAAAAAAGAGCAAAGTACAGTAGTACTGTAACTAGTGTGGAGCTTTTAACGCGCACGGCTTTGCAACACTGCTCTGTGTCAAGCTGTGTGTTGCAGTCACTGTGCACAAACACACGCTTGCCACTGGAATCAAGCTTCCGGTCCTTTGACCTATCACAAGCTTTTACTCGACTAGAGGCTAGGCTACACTCTGTTTCCATCTGCGATCTTTCTATGATCATTCGGAGACTGCTTCCCGACTCTGTGTTCAGCTGATTCGTTTCTTGTTCGGCGACTAGTTCCCGAGCCACCACCACCAATCTCGGAGCTTGGTCCCACTCGAGGTCCAGATCCGCCACAACCGTCTCCGACAACGACTCAGATGGGCAGTTTATGCATTTCCACCGTTTTCGTCTCATCCACCATATATAAGCATCGCAACAATGAGCAACGCCGCAGCGACTAGCAATCGGCGTTCTCTCCCCGTCGAGGAGGACTTCCTGCCAAACCACCCCAAAGTAGCCCAACTCATCTCTGACACCCCAGACCAAGTCATCTCCTCTGCTGTCACCACTCCAGCCTCGGAAACCATGCCGTCCTCCGAGATCCCTTCCACTCCTCTCAATGGTCGCAGCACTCCTGACTCGGAAGGCGAGCCCATCGTCGCCACTTCCACCGTCACCACCACCATCTCCAATCCACGCGGCAGCGGCTCTTCCACACTCGAATTTCAGCACATTGGCGCCAAGGGCCTGTCACATAGACTCGGCAAAGATGGCGCCATCTATCTCAAACCCGTCGCTGCCTCCTCCAAGTCCCGCAAAAAGATGCGTGCTGTCGTCAGCTTCAAGCCCCGTCGAAGCCATTTTGACCGCTTCAACGAGACTTCCTCACGCGATCAGTTCCGCGGCTTCTTCACTCTCTTCTGGGTCTGCCTGGCGCTCTTCGTCCTCAACACATCCTACACGAGCTTTGCCAGCACGGGTCAGGTGCTCAGTCTGACTTTTGCAACGCTCTTCAGCAAAGATGCTTGGATGTTGGCACTGAGCGATGGAGTATTGATTGCGTCGCTCTTCATGTGCGTCCCCTTTGCCAATGTCTGCAGAAGGGGTTGGGTTAGGTACTGGCCCACGGCGGTGGTGTTCCAGCATCTGTGGCAGGCAACGCTGCTCGGATTGGTCATCAAGTGGGCGAGGTACAGGGAATGGCCTTGGGTGCAGAGCGGATTCTTTGTGCTGCACACGCTCGCCATGATGATGAAGATTCACTCCTATATGAACGTCAACGGCAACATGGCCGATACATATCACCGCATGCGCCGCGTGGAGAGCATGCTCGAGGAGAGGGTGGCCGAGGTCGAAGGATCTGAAGCTGGTCGCGGCGACCAACAGCTCAGAGCGGCGTGGGGCAAAGCCGTCCGACAGGCAAGGCAGGCTGCAGGCTTCGGCGATCAGAGTACGAGCAAGTCGACCGCCCAAGTGCTTGCGCAATGGTCCTCGTTAGATACTCAAAGAGGCAGCGACTCGAGTCGGCTTCGAGCAGGCCAGCTGCTCAACGCAGTTCCCAACAAGGAGACCACACAGCCTGCCCTGGCGGTGGAGGACCAGAGCGAAAAGAAAGCCCAAGCACAAGCTGATGGCGAGAAGAAGCTCAGCACGGAAGAACATATCCAGCTGCACAAGAATGTATCCGAAAAGGACAAGGCCGACCGCAGTGCCGATGCAGCTTTCAAAGATGTCAAGCTCAAGGTTGACAGCAACGACGATGCAAAGCTCAGCCGAAAGCACTCTACCTCTCGCGATCCCTCATCGCATCACCAGATTCGCGATCCTCACCCACTCTCCTCTCACCCGGACACCGTCATCTCTGACCTAGCTCGCGAGATCGAAGTTCTTCGTGAAGACCTCTTGTCAGCCCGCCCTTCTACCGACCTCTCTCCCGATCTCATCCACCAGGACCCCGTCATGTGGCCCGCCAACATCAGCTATGCCAACTTCTGGGACTATCTTCTGGTTCCCACCCTCGTCTACGAGCTCTCCTATCCACGCCTCAAGACCATTCGACCACTCTACGTCCTGGAAAAGACCCTTGCAACTTTTGGCACCTTCCTCGTGATCTACGTCATCACCGAGCACTGGATCATGCCCTTCACCCCCACGGCCGATACACCCTTCCTGCGCACTTTCCTCCAACTTGCGGTACCCATGATGATCAATTACCTCCTCATCTTTTACATCATGTTCGAGTGCATCTGCAACGGCTTTGCTGAACTGACACGGTTCGCGGACCGCGAGTTTTACCTCGATTGGTGGAACGCGACCAGCATGGATGTCTTCAGTCGAAAATGGAACAAGCCGGTCCACTCGTTCTTGTTGAGGCATGTCTATGCCAGTACAATCGCTGCTTGGGGACTCAGCAAGAGCATGGCCATGTTTTTGACCTTTTTGCTCAGCTCGTTGGTGCACGAGTTGGTGATGGCCATTGTCAGCGGCAAGATCAGGTTCTACCTGTTTGCAGCACAGATGGTTCAATTGCCGCTGATCATTATCAGCCAGATCCCCTTCATCAAGCAAAACGAGACTTTGGGCAACATGATCTTCTGGATCGGGTTGATGGCGGGTTTCCCACTGCTCAACATCGGATATCTGGTATATTGATCCGTGTCACAAGACGAGCTTCTAGAATTTTTAACAAAAGAAGACAGGATGATAAGATATACAGTATAATTGCTTGGTTTTGTGCCACCGTATCACACGTAACATCATTTATTATGCTTTGTAATACCTAGACCGCTTTACTATCCTCGGAAAGGGCCTCAACTCCGCAAGAACGACTTAGCAGGAGAGTATTGTACGGCGAGAGAGATTCCCGCTTTTATATGTGTGAGAACAACCCGTCGCGGAATGGCAATCTACAGAAAGAAGACTGAGCTGCTACTTGGCAACAGAAGCGGAGTGACTGAAGAAAGTGGTACATTTGCATGTTCTCGACCTTTTCCGATTGTATGCGATGCAGACCAGGTCTCGGAGAATTTGCTTGCCCTTTGTGCGTGTGGGACTTGATATCCGACGGACAGCTGTTACCGCTCAAAAATGACGTTGCTTCCCTTTGTGTCGCATAAAAAAGACGCGCTTCGGAGAAGCTCAAAATGCGTGGCGTAGAAACAAGGCTTCTAGTCTTCCCCTTTGTGCGTGAGCCCTTTGTGCGGTGGTACAGCTGCGTGGGTCACAGGACACACACACAACTAGTAGAGAGGATGGAGGCTGCAGGTTAGCCGGATTCAGAATGAAAGGGATGAAACTGCTCGCGATCAAAGCGTTGTCAATAGGATGCAGCTAAGTTTACTCCGCCCGCCACCGCCGTGGAATCTAAGCGAGATGCCAAAGTGGGCGTCGGACAGCTCAAGATAGGGAGTCACTGCCGATCTTTGATCCTATATCCCACCCAACGCCACTGTCCGTGTGTTTCTCCTCATGAGGTGTCGGAAAGAACAAAGGAAAGCAGCGATGGGTTGTGCGCCGACTGGGTGGGGTGCAGCGTTGTTCATGTGGCATGGAAACACACAAACACACAGACAGAGGCTCTGCACCACAGCATCGCACGGATGACACTTCCGACTCAAAGGGTCTGCTTCGAATGAAGCCTTGTTCGAGCGCTTGCCCTCGGTATCCTGTATAAAGAGTCTTCTTCCCATCGTCAGCGCTTCCTCCTCTCGTTCCTCTACTTCCCCGCATCTCTGCCCTCTCTACACAAAGCAAATCGCAGGGGACACCATGTCAGTCGCCACACGTTCCCGTTCAATGACAGCCCACTCCTCCTCCTCTACCTCCGCCACCGTTGCTCCCGCTTCCTCCTCCACTGCTGCTCAGTCTGCTCCTCGCTTCAACAGCTTTCGTCCGGCCCGCTATCAGACAAAAGAAGAGCTCGACCGGTTTTTCGGCACCACCTCCGTTCAAAAGCGAGAGCAGCGTCTGCGAGTACGCGAGTCCGACGGTCAAGTCTATTTCGATTGGATAGAGAAGGATGAGTGGCAACATTTGCTCGCTACTGGCTCGCTGACGAGCCCCAACTCTCCTGCTGATCAAGTGGTGGCCATGGATAGGAGACGCAGCAGTGTTGCCACTTTTATGACACTAGGCTCGCCGCTGTGCCCCTCGAGCCCCGCGAGAAGGGCAAGCTTGGCCAGTGGTATGAGCCCCTTGGTGGGCAGGTTCGGCGAGGTCGAAATTGGTAGTGCGGACCACAGCACGGATGGCGAAGATGGCAAGGAGAGGAGGGGGAGGAAGAGGAGCAACAGCGCTCTAGCCGCACGAAGTGGAAAGGTGGATGATCATCTTCCCCTGAACGGAGGAGGAGGAGGAGGAGGAGGAGGAGGAGGAGGAGGAGGAGGAGGAGGAGGAGGAGGAGGAGGAGAGGAACGAGACTGGATCCAGTCTCCCGGATTCAAGCGTAGGCAGAGCGATGGTGCCGTGTCCAATCCTCGTGACTGCTGCTACTACGATGAAGAGGAGGGCCAAGATACGCATAACGACAACGTTCGAATCCGCATCTCTCGCCTTCCACTCGGTCACCGCAAGCTCGACCAAGATTCTCTCGATCAAGCCTTCCGCACCCACAATCCCCTGCTCGATCTCTCTCCCAACGCTACAATTCC